CCTTGTTTATTTATTTTTCTTGGAGGGGGTTGTTGAGACAGGCTCTCACCCTGTAGTTCAGGCTGACCTCAGACTCACGGCGATCCTCCTGCCTCAGCCGCCTGAATGCTGGGATTACAGGTGTGCACCACATGCCTGGCTTGGATTCACCTTTGAACTCAAAGATTCACCTCTGTGGGCTGCCAGTAGTGGCTTCTGTGTGCTGGTCTGGCCTCTGGCTCTCTGCACAATTGGACCCTGCAAGGTCCTTGCCTCCTCTTGCGTGGCAGGCCATGTCCTACACAGCCCAGCTATCTCTTATTCCTTATGCTCTGTGGATGCTCAGAGGGGGTCTCTCAGAGTTGCTGAGTTCTTTTGGGTCTCCACCAAAGATGAGTCAGCCTTGGAGACCAGAGGTATTCCTCATGTACTTCCATGTCCCCAGCATCCAGCTAAGCCTCCATGTGTTTCCACAGGCACTGAATGAATGAGACAAGGAACACTGTGGGCTTTCCACTCCTAGCTGTGGGATTTCCACTTCTAGCTTCAGTTTGTTCTCCAAACATTTCTCAGGCACCTCCTCCATGCCAGGCCTGGTGCCAGCCCCGGGATAACGACAACTCAAGCCTCGCTTCTGTGGTTTACGCTGCACTTGCACTGCACAAGTCAGAGCCGCTCTGCCACGCAGGCATTTGTGTTTATGTCCATTTTCTGCTTGTGGAAACTGAGGCCCAGTGAGGGTGAGCAAAAGTTGTGGTGGAACCAAATTAGAATTCAGGCCTCGGGCTGGAGAGATGGCTCAGTGGTCTAAAGCACCTACTTAGAACAAGCTTAGCAAAGCATCAGGGACCACGGTTCGATCCCCCAGCACCACATGCCAGCCAGCCCCGCCCCCTGGTGGGCTGAGCTGGCCACACACACACACCACTCTCTCTCTCTCTCTCTCTCTCTCTCTCTCTCTCTCTCTCTCTCTCTAATAACTAAATAAAAAAAAAAAAAAAAAAAAAAGAATTCAGGCCTCTTCACTCCAGAGTCCAAAAACAAAGCAGAGAAATATACATGGACATTTGGAAACTATGGGACAAAAAGAAGGCAAATCTCAAGCCAAATGTCATCAGAGCCTTTTGCTTCAGGATAAATCTCACTAGCCATTTGGGTATCTTTCTGCTTGCTCAGGTTGAGCCTATGGGTATGAGGTCACACAGATACAAGTGGCACTGTCACTGTAGGAAACAAGGCTATAGAAAACCACAATTTGAGAAGAGCTTAATGCAGCCCCAAACCTCAGGAAGCTCCTTTTAGGCTGGGAGGGAGACAGAAGCAAACAGATGTGACTGCATTTGAATCTCCCAAAAGCAGACCCAAGATGGGCACTTAACACAGGTAGTATTTGGGAGGGTTCCCAGCAAGCGGGAGGAAAGGGTACAGAGCATGACAGGAGAGGGAGAGACAGCCATTAAATGTGCATTAGTAAGCAGGTGACTGCTGCAGGCCACTGAATTCCACCCTGCTGGATGTCTTTTTTTTTTTGGTATAGGGTCTCACTACACAGCTTGGACTCATACTGATCCTCTTGTTTTCAGTACACACACCCCAGGCCCCAGTGCTGGGATTACAGTTGCACGCCACCATGCTGGGTCTTGGTGACCAGCTCAGTGCACCTGGGGTCAGGTCCAGTGCAGCATGTGGTGCTGGGGATCGAACCCTAGTCCCTATGCTTGCCCAAGCAGGTGCTTAGGCCACTGAGTTATCTCACCAGCCCTTCTGCTGGGTGTCTTCGGAGGAACAGTGGCAAAGACCCACAAACTGCCTCCCCAAAGTTGAGGAAGCTGAGCATTGCTTTCTTCTCTGATTCTAAGGTTATCCTGAAGACATTCACTCCCTACATTTCCAAGCCATTCTGTGCTTAGGCTGGGCCAGTGCATGCAACTTCAGGAAACACCATCAGGCAAAAAGTGGGGTGATCTGGTGGGCACCTGAGGGGGCCAGCACTTGAAAGCCATCCACATGGCTGCATCTGGGATCAGATACTGGCAGCTAGAGGGTCTGCTCCACACTGTTGGATACATGACATGTCTTTATTTTTTTATTTTTTTATTTTTTGCAGAACCAGGGATTGAACTCAGGCCCTTGCACTTGCCAGGAAAGCGCTGATTCCACTGAGCCATCTCCCCGGCCCCGACATGTCTTTAGTATCATAAAATATCTTGAGGATTAAAAATTGGGAATTGAGGCATGAAACAGAGGTCAGTCGGCCAAGATTTCCTCTGGGTAAGTGATTCTGGAGTTTAACTCTGTGTGTGTGTGTGTGTGTGTGTGCTACTGGGGATCAAACTCAGGACCTTGCACTTGTCAGGCAGGTTCTTATGCCACTGAACTGTATCCCCAGCCCTGGAGTTTAACTTGAAAGGTGAATACGCAGTAGGGGAAGAGGCATTCCCAGTAAAGGCTCAAGTGTGAAATAGCATGTTTTGGGGAGAAACTGCAGAGTCCGTGCCTGAGTCTTAAGATTAGACCAGGACTGAGTCGGGAGCAGGTACAAAAGCTGAATGGTGATGTGCTTTGAATAATAAGCCAAAGAGTCTGAACTTTATCCTCGGATGCTAGGGAGCCAGTGCAGGGTTCTGAGCAAGGGAGGGACACAGTCAGATTTATGCATGGAAGAAGTAGGAGCCTGAGGAGGAAGTTCCCTGCATAGGCCAGGACACCCCATAAGCCTACTCCCCTTTTGGTCCCCGAGGGGCTGGCCCTGCCTATCCAGATATGTGACCAAGTTGGAGAATGATAATGGGGCTGCTCATTTCCCAGATTCATCTTGACCAACCTGGACATTGTCTGGCTTGGTACAAATTAAATCTCATTATTATCTATAATAGTTGCTACCTGGCTTTGGTCATTACTAGAGCTGGTGATTATCAAGGGCTGGATGTTACCTCCACTAGGAAACTTTTGGGATTGAGCCAGTCATTCCGTCCTCTTCCAGGCTAATTCCTGAAGCCCACTGCTCTGGCAGCAGCCTGGTCTGAGCTGGTTTGATGGCAGGAGGGAGGGAGATGATAGGAAACCCAGTGTGCCATGGGCTCTTCCTTACCATACTGGCTGTCTCCTGACCTCTCGGCTGGGTCAGGCAAATGTGCCCAAGTCCCACAATCTTTGCACCTACTCCATTCAGGGCCCTGATCGTGCTGTTCACAAAGTGGTGTTGGTATTCATTGACCGTTTCCCAAATAAACCACACTTGTATTCCACTTTCTCCCTATCTCCCTTTGACTTTCTTTTCCTGTGATTCCCCCTCACCTTTCTGTTTTTTTTTTCTTTTCAAAGTTTTATTGATAAACATATAGCAATGAGACAGTTTCAAATCAAATCGAAAGTACAGTTTCAACTCACCTTTCTGTTTTTAAATTATGGAAGACAGATACATCCAAATGAGCTACAGAGTCCTTGTTCCACGACATGCTCTCAGCACTGGCCCACGTGCGGCCCAATGTATATGATGAAGCATAGTAAAAAAAACCCCACACCATAGTATTGTATGTGCACCTGCGAGTCTCTGCCCATGCACCAACTACAGCAAGACCAGTATCTGACATCTCCTCTGTGTTGTCCCCCTCCCCAGCTCTACTAAGGCTCATTAAGATTCTGAGTTTTGATTTTATCCTACCCTAATCTCTTTATTTTTAGTTTTATCCCATGTGTGAATACCTACACAATATGTTGGGTTTTACATGTGTATTGATTTTATGTTAAAAGGTACCATATTGTTTATAATCTTTTGTGTAACTTAGTGCAGTTCTGATGAGAATTCGTCTGCATCACGATCCCACCATTGTGAAGGCTGTGTGTGAGCATACCATTATTTATTTGCTTACTTAGTTTCCCATTAACTGGTAGTCCGATTGTTTTCAGGTATTCTGCTGTTCCAAACAGTGCTGCTGCAACTATTCTTATGCATTTCTCCTAATGCTCTGCAAACTACAGTCCAGGGAACAGCCATCCTGGCATCCCCAGAAGCTCATTAGAAAAGAATGCAGAATCTTGGGCTGTCTTCACCCGGCTGCACAGGAATCTGCACTTTCACATCTCTCCCTTAGGTGGTTGTAAAACCTTGCTGACCACGTCCCACATTTGCTCAGGTAATGCCTCCCTCTGCCTGACTTTTAAAAAGCTTTATTACAGTATTTATTTCCTGTTCACAAAAAATTCATAGAGAATAGCAGAGCCGACATCCAAGCATCCACCACCACCCAGGTTAAGAAATACACAATTTGCCCCTATTCCATTCCTCCCGTCTCCATCGGGGTCACAACTCTCCTGAGTTTGCTATTGATCACTCCCATGGGGGTTCTTACACTTGCATTATATATGTGTGTCTCCCTAAATCACACAGAGTGTGCACTACCTGTTTTTCAAACTTTACACTAGCCAACCCACTGTGTTTTCTGTGTGCAAGTTGCCTTTTTCATCCAACAATACCTACTTTTTTATTTTTAAAAAACTGTACTGGAGCATGAAATTCAAACAAAGAATACACAAATCACAATCATATGACTGAATTTTCACAAACTAAATCAACTGTGATTTTGAGATGTGTTCTCATGGGTGCACATGGCTTGCATCGGCCTGTTCTGAAGATCATGAAGTGGAGACAGTTCGCCATTGTCTGAATTCACTGTTTATCTGGGCTGCAGATGATGACATTTAAGCTGTGTCCAGCCTTTCACTGTTACAAATGGCCCTGCTATGAACATCCGAGTGCCTGCCTCCAGGGCCCCTCCTCTGGAGGGAAGGCCTGCTCATCTTCGCCAGGACCTCACAGTGCAGGACTCCCAGCTCAGAGGCGAAGGACTTACCCACCTGCTCCTCACTGCCCATACCCTGCCCAAACCCACAGCCCTCGCTCTGCCTTCCTCTTCCTGGGCTCCGAATTCACCACTCCTTCCAGACGTGGCCACAACCCCACCTCTGCCGGGAAGCCCTCTTGAGCAGCAGCAGTCCTCTGTGTATCTCACAACTGTCAGAGCCCAAGAGACACCAACCCCGTGCAGACTCTGGGGAGAGGAGTGTATGTTCTTGAGAAGGAGCATGGGTGGGCCAGTAGAGAGTGTGAGAAGCTGATTGCTCTGGGTCTTGATGGGTGAGTAGGAGTTTGTCAGGTAGAGCAGTGGGAGGGCACTGCAGGCATAGGCAAGGCAGAGGCTAGGCACTGGAACAGTGGTTTCTGGGATGAGGATGTGGGCAGGCAGTGGATGAGATGGAAATGGGTTGTGAGGAGCCTTGACTGCAGCCATTAATGCAGTTCTGACTTCTTCGTGCTGTGTGGGAGCAGGAGAGTAGGCACGGGCAGCTGACACCTACTGAGTGCCAGGCACAGCAAAGAGCTTTTTTACGTCCGTTATCTCTTCCGCTCTTCGGCTCTTCAGCTCCTGTTAGAGATACTCAGGTTGTTCTCATTCTCCAAGTGTGGACATTGGGCTCAGAGAGTACTTTGTGATCAGGGCGGCAGGGGCCAGGGCTGGTACCTGGCCCAGGTCTACCTGACTCTAGCTAGGGACTTTTTAACTCCTGTGCTTCCTAAGGCAAGAACCACCTAGAAGAGGGCTCCACAGGAAGGGGTCACCGGGAGTGGGTACCCATTCTCAGAAGCAGGAACCCCAAGAAGGAGGGGGCCTCATGACTCCCGCGGTGCGACCCGGACCAGCCTCTTCCACCCTGAGCCTTGGTTTCCCTCCTCCACAGTGCAGAGTGCAGCGACAGTAGCACAGGTTCCTGCCCACGGGCTCCACCGCGTGTGGTTCAAGTTCCCACCCCACCGTGGCCCGCACTGTGTGACCCTGTTCTAGTAATCTACCTACCCTCTCTGGACCCCAGGCTACAGATGTCCAAGCGCGTTTCTGGTCGAGACCGAGCGTTGGCAGCTGGGGGAACCCTCCCCTTCTCCCCGGGTTGCGGGAGCATGGGTGGGGGTGGGGTGTCCAGAACCTGCTCTCCCCTGGCAGCCCCGGGGCCGCGGCCGGATCCGTGCCTGGTTTTGGGCGCAGCCGCGTGGCCCCCTCCCCCGCGCGCATCTCCCCGCCCCCCGCCCCCTCCCCGCCGCGCTCGGGGAGCCGGGGCCGCGCGGCTCCTCCTTCCGCAGCCGCATCTGGGGCGCCGCGCCGGCCGGAGGAGAGGCATGGGGCACCCGCGGACCGGGGCCGGGACCGGGGCCTAGGCGGGCGGACCTGCGAGCGGACCCGGGCGGCAACGGCGGCGCAGCGCAGGGCCGAGCGGGCCGGAGGCGGCCGAGGAGCCGGGCGCAGGTGAGGACGCGGGGGTGGCGCGCGATGGCCCCGACCCCCTTCCCGGGACTGGCGCGCCCCGTCCTTCTGCAAGACCCCCGAATCCGGGTCTCTCCCCGACAGACCTCCGTGAGCCGGGGGCGGCGCTGGCGCAGAAAAAGCCCCCTCCCCCTGCTGGTTGCTTGCGCTGAGCCTCGGTCCGAGGGGCAGCTGTTCGGCAGGGAAGCCCCCTGCTCGGGGTGGGATCGTCCCATCCAGGTCTCCCCCGACCCTCAAACCGGGGGGACAATGTTGGGGCCTGGAATCGTCAGTCCAGGGCCGGATCCCCGTTCTGGCTCTTTTTCCCGCGGACTTCCCGGTATCACCCGGCTGTCAAAGCGGAGAAGCCCCTCCTCAGGCCTGCCGGCCATCCGCAGGGCGGCGTGGGCATCGGGCAGACCCTCCCCTGCCGGCCGGCCGCGGAGCTCGGGAGAGCGAGGCTCTGCCCAGCTCCGCGCCGGGGCTCTTTCAGCCCAGCTGTCTCGGATCCCGCCTCGGTTGTCCGGGAGCTGTCCCGGCGGCTCCCCTCTTCCCGAGCTCTTTCCTTGGACCTAGCATCTGGGGTGGGGGACCCCTTTCCGCTGCATAGCGCCCCCTCCCTTTTGCTTGTCCGGGAGGGGCCGGGCTGACCCGGGCACCTGGACTGGGGGGGCACTCACATGGCTACTGGAGGCCCCCACGTGCGGCGCCCCACAGTAAAAGGGGTTCGCGTTCAGAGCGAGTGGGAATGGACCAGGTGGCTGCGGAGGCCAGCTGGGTCCAGATGTTCCGGGCCTGCTAGGAGGGGATATTTGCTACCTGAACGTGTGATGGCCCCTGGCCTCTTTGGGCCGATTCTGCCGCCCCCGATCCTCCTCCAAGCCTCTGTCCCTCCGTCTCTGTCCCTTCTCCCGTTCTTCCACGCTGCCTGTGTTGCAGAGGGAGGCTGTCACAGACTGTTGATATTGTGGGGGGAAATGAAACGGGGGAGGGGTTGTGGGTTGGTGAAGGCCAGTTGTGTGTGGGGGTGCTTTGAGAATGGGAAGTCCTAATGCTAAAGGACAGTGCTGATGGGGGAAGGGTTCCCAGCACCCCCACCTACCTGGAAAGGGGGTCTGCAGGCCCCAACTCCAAGCGGAAGTGGACTGTCCCTCCACCTCTGCCTTCACTTGTACAAGGGAGCTGTGTTTCCTGTCAGGCTGGCAAGAGGTTGTACAAGACCACCTCCTCCTCTCTGTTGGAGGAGCCCAGTAGAATTCTGTTCCTTCTTTGGTGACCACCTTACCTTTCCCTTCTCTATTAGAGAAACTGTAGACTGCTTGGGCCCTGGGTGTCTGGAGGGACCTGAGCCAGACTCTGGTGGGCAGAAGGACTGGGTAGAACCACAGCGCTGGTACCCCAGATGATTGGTGACTGCACTATTGGGAGCCACCAGCAGGCCCCAGAACTGTCCCTCAGCGGCCACTCAGCAGCTCTTGGATATCCTGGCTGTGCATGTGGGGCAGGTGTATGTGCATTTGCCTGTGCTGTGGCAGAAGTGGACTAGGGCTCCTTGGAGCTGGGAAATGGCAGCTAAACTTCTGGAAGTGTGCCTGCGTGGGGCCATGGTGCCCTTCTTAGCTGCCAGGCCAGACCGTACTGGGTGCTAGGGATGGTGGGCAGGGCCCGGCCTGAAGAGAAAAAGTGTGGCAGAAGGGCCTGACAGCTGAGTTATGTGGGACCAAGGGAAGCATTCAGCTGGTACCAGCCTTGAGATGGAGCCGCAGGTCTGAGGGCTGTGCTCGGGGCATGCAGCCGCCTTGCAGCTGAGTTGGTGTTTTTGAAGGCAATCTGTGCAGCACTTGGGAACTAAGCTTGCAACGTGTGTTTTGGAGCTTTTAGAGGACTCAGTGACGTATCTTGTGTATCAGGGCACCTATTGGCGTCTCATTAGATTTCTTGTGCAGTTTATGGTCTGCTGGTTTCATAAATGCCAGACTGTTGATGTGTGGAGAAATGGTGTCCAAGGTACTTTCTGTGACAGAGAGCAGGTGGTCTCTGTACTTCCATACATCTGTGAGTGATGGGGATTCATTTATTCATTCATGCATTCTTTCTTTCATTCAACAAAGCATTAAAGTAGCATTCTCTGCCATCTAAACATTTCCATGTAAGCATTCTGAAGTATAAACTAACAAAAATCTTGAATTCAGGTATAATTTTTTAGAAAGCTTGTAGTTGGTACTCAGTAAATGTGCACAGCTCCAGCCTCCTTCCCACAACCATCTCTAGTATCTAGCTGCATTTTGCTACTCACCTCTTCCTTCTTTGACTGATCTCCCAGCCCTACTTTTAGGTCATGCTGAGTTCAACTTCAGACTATTTCAGAAGAAAGCCTTCCTTCATGCCCAGGCCCAGGTGTCTCCACAGCCCTGAGGGCTCTGCTTGTACTACCCCAGTAACATGCTTTTCTTAGATGAGTCTTGGTACAATTGACATGAGAAGGACAGGGTTCCATCCTTATGCTGCTGCCCTGGCACTGAGGAGAGGTCTTGCCTTGCATGGGCACTGGGTCCATTTGTTCTGTTAGAAGGGGGGATGAGCACAAGGTGAGCCATTCTGAGTGGAGGGCTGGGCAACAGGCATCCCCTGTAGTTGGCCAGGCCCAGTCACCACATGAACTGTGCCTGTCAGTTCCTGCTTCTACCTGGCCAGGATCTGAGGGAGTTACAGGCCATCCATCGGCCTCTAAAGTGCCAGCAGGACTGTGAGGCCTCAGAGTCTCTGCAAGAGAGTGAGGGGCACAGCAGGCTGTGCATCCCTGGGGCACGTCTGTGCCTTTCTGGGCAAGCGGTTGCTTTTATATCAAGTCCCTTGCTCACATCATCCCCCATTAACCTTTACTCACCAGGCTGCTTGTTTGTCCTCTCCACTGCTCAGTCTTCCATTCCTTCTTTGGGCCAAGAGTATTTCCTGGCCCACTCATTGCCAGCCCTGTGCCGGGTTTGGGGACACAGAATTAAACTGGTGAGGACCTTGTCTGTAAACTATGGCCATTCTGCCAGGCCCTTCCTAGTGATAGGGAGTAGTGCTGTCCATATGCCAGAAGAACCTTCTGAAGGTCAGACACTTGGCTTGGGTTTGGAAGACTGGGGATGTGGGTAGAGGGAGAGTGGGGAGAGAGGCCTGCTGATTGAGGCCTAAAGACGAGAAGGCAGCTGTGTGGTCTGGGGAATGCAGGAGGTGTGTGGCCCTCAGGGGGAGGTAGCCCAGGGATGGTCACCACAGGTGGCTGGACACAAAGGTGGGCAGCATGCAGTCTTGGCTGGGTAGCCACTATGTACCAGGACTCTGTCACTGACTTGCTCTGTATTTTGAGTGAAGTGTGTTCTCTCTTTGGGCTCCCAGCCTTGGACCTGGTGATCTCAGAGGTTCTTTCCACTTTCCCCTGTTTGAGTCTCCAATCCTCATGGTCCAGAAAGGGAAGTCTCAGCACTCTGCTTCTTTGGGCATCCTTGGGGCTGTCACAGGATGAGGCTTGATTTGTTCTGGTGGCTTTGGTAGGCAGTAGGTGTCCTACCCAGGACTGGGACTCCCAGGGGCCTGGTGAGGCTCAGCAGTTCTTTCTAACAGGTGATCCTATCCTTTAAGGGTTGAAGGTGTCAAGGAACATCCACTATGCACACTCTTCAGGGTCAAGGAACACCCACTACGCACACTCTCTCTGGGCACCTTTTGAGAATGGCCATCACTGATGTGTAGGACCAATGCCAGGCCTACTCCTCACTTCATCAGACTGTTGTGGGGCCTTTGAGACTCCTAACACTCAGTTTCTTCTCTCAAGGCCTGTGGGAGAGGGGGTCACCTATTTTCTTTCCACTTCTGCTGTGCACTCTCCTGAGACTACCAGGGCCACTATACAGTTTTCAGAATCCATTTAATCCTTACCTTTCCTAGCAATCCCCTGGGTTAGGAATGAAAAAAGGACATTATCTCCCTTTGACAAATGAGGAAACTAAGGCTCAGAGAGCTCGGGTGGCTGCCCAGGACCCAGAGCCTAGGAGCCCCAATCACTGGTCCTGGGGGTGGCCATCCTGTCAGACCCTCTCCCTTGCTGATGGCACATGATTTCCTGAGCCAAGGAGTGGGGCCCAGGATCCTTCTGTGCTGGGTTTCGCAATGCCGCCTCCTCCCCGCTGAGCTGAGCTGTCTGACGTGGCCTTTTCAAAAACCCAAAATGAATGGAAGCACATTTTGTTTGGAGAATTTTGCTACACCCCTCACCAGGGCTGGTTGCAAAACCAGGCTTGGGGGATCCCTGCTGATGTTGATGATAATATTAATAATAATAATAATAATAATAATAATAATGGTATCACTGGCTAACACTTTTTAAGAATCCAACCATTCAACAGAGTATTACTGACCATCTCCCAGGGCCGTGCATGGTGCTAAGCCCTTTACTACTGAGAACTGAGCACAAAACTTCTCTCTACCTTTGGCTTCAGTACCCATCATACCCTATTTGTTAGCCCCATTTTTGTAGATAAGGAAATGGGCACAGAGAGGTTCAGTAAGCCATTTAAGGCTACACAGCTAAGAAAGCAGTGGCACCAGGATTGGGATCCAAGTCCATAAGAGTTTAGCGTCTGTTCCTAGCCCCTATGTTCTGAGGATTCTGAAAATCCCATTTGTTGACTAGCAAGTGCTGGGAGAGGGGGTGGGCAGTGGGTGTCAGGCTGGTATCAGACCCAGTTCCTGGCTGTGGGGAGCCAGGGCGAATACAGTGGAGGCAGAGCACAGCCTGGTCTGAGTAAGCGACCTCAACTCGAGCCACCATGCACACAGCCCTATGTGAGTGTGAGGGCCATAGTTATGAGGCATGGGTGTTGGTGAGCACTCCGCTCCTCAGTGGCACACCATTCTGGTAAGTGGGCCCATGTCTCAGGCTTCCTGGGGATGCTGTGGGGAGGTGACATGGTGAGAAGAAATGACCAAGCCTGGCAGCCTGCTAGGGAGAGAAGACAG